GAATATTAAAAAACATATATAGATATAGAAATAATTGTAGATGAAAATATATGCCTTCAGAGACATTTATATTCCCTATCTCTAAAACTGAGAGGGCTGGAGAAAGGCAACATCCCCCCTGCCAGTAGCAATGAGCACACCTAACTTGCAGATCTCAGACTCTAAATACAACTAAAAGAAATCAGAGGCCAGGTGCGGTGGCTCATGTCTGTAATCTCAGCACTTTGGGAGGCTGAGGCGGGTGGATCATCTGAGGTCAGGAGTTCAGGACCAGTCTGACCAACCCTGTCTCTACTAAATACAAAAAATTAGCCAGGCTTGGTGGTGGGCTCCTGTAATCGCAGCAACTTGGGAGGCTGAGACAGGAGAATCTCTTGAATCTGGGAGGTGAGGGTTGCAGTGAGCCGAGATTGCACAATTGCATTCCAGCCTGGGAAACAAGAGCAAAATTTTTTCTCAAAAACAAACAAACAAGCAAAAAAACAAAAAAACAAAAAAACAAAAACAAAGAAATTAGGAATTGAGAAAAAGAACTAGAATAGGAAAAGGATAAGATGAGTACATCTCAGAGAGACATAGGAACCGGCATGAATAGACTTGCACTGGCAAATCTGGGACAATCTCACCATCACAACAAATGTTTTTATAATGTATTGTAAATAGTTTAATAAAATAAAAAATCTATTGTGATAACAGTTGATAAATGAATGCATTGAAAGATTAAGGAGGAATGGGACATTGACATAGGGATGTGGAACATTTCATATTGCTTTCACACAAAATAAAATGAACTATAAAACAAAACAAGAAACTTTATAGTGGAGAAACATGCTCTCCATCAATAATGGAAGTGAATAATCATTAATAATGGAACAAGTTCAAAAAGAATTCCACCTAGTAGGATACAATTCAGTATATAGGCTTGCTTTTGTGATATTGCTCTTAAAGTTGTATAACCTAAATGGAATCATGGGGAAACATCAGAAAAACCCAGATTGAAGACATTCTATGAAATAACTAGCCTACGATCTTCAAAAGTGTCAAGGTCATGAAAGTCGGAGAAACACCAAGGAACTGTTCCAGATTGAAGGACTAAAGAGGCAAGCAACTAGGTATAAAATGGGACCCTGAACTAGATCCTTTTTCTATAATGGACATCGTTAAAACATTTGGTAAATTTGAATGGGGTATCAGGATCCGATGGTTGTTACATCCTCAAAATACCTCTGCAGAGTAGGTATTATCTCTTTTTATAAGTGAATAAAGAGGCTCAGAGAGAAAGTATTTTGTCTAAAGATACTTAAATAGTAAAACACTAAGAAAGGATTAAATTCAAGGCCAAAAGAAGGGAGAAGGACTTTGTTCAAAAGAAGGTCTCATATAATTTATTTATTTATTTATTTATTTATTTATTTATTTACTTATTTGAGACGGAGTCTTGCTCTGTCGCCCAAACTGGAGTGCAGTGGCCGGATCTCAGCTCACTGCAAGCTCCGCCGTTCGGGTTCACGCCATTCTCCTGCCTCAGTCTCCCGAGTAGCTGGGACTATAGCCGCCCGCCACCTCGCCCGGCTAGTTTTTTGTATTTTTTTAGTAGAGACGGGGTTTCACCGTGTTAGCCAGGATGGTCTCGATCTCCTGACCTTGTGATCCGCCCACCTCGGCCTCCCAAAGTGCTGGGATTACAGGTGTGAGCCACTGCGCCCAGCCTGATGGAATTATACTTTCTATCAGATTAATTCTTGGAAGTGTCTGTCTGGTTAACAAAACCAGGGTGCACTATAACTGCTGTCATTTCAGTTAGATGAAGCTGGAATAGATACTATTCCGAGAGATTTTCAATGAACACCCATCAAAATAAGGCCAAGACAAAAGCCAAAATTATTAGTTAGAAAAGACTCGATTTTATACTCCTAAAATAGAAGGGAACTTAGGTCTGGAGTTGGACAGGGATAGAGGAAGGTGGCTCAGGAAGTAAAGGGAAGAGTGGAGAGATCCGATAGTTCATGGGTTTGTTAACTCCTCCCATTTGCTAATCTCCCCCGCCGACCTACTCCACGTTAGCACTCACACTCTTACACAAATCACTTCTATCTTCAAAAACAGAAGAAGAAATTGATTGAGCAGACTTCCAATCTTTCATTTCATGAGCAGGGTGGTCTCCAGAGAAAAGAGTATCAGTTTTGCTTTCAGTAGAATTGGTCCTTAATCCAGTCTCTGCTTAGCTGTATGCTTTTTTTATGTCATTTAAAACTTTTTTCTGACAGGTTTTCCTTGAGTGGCTGAATTTGATTTAGGTTCTTGTCTCCTCCTATGTGTACCACTCTGTATGCTACCATAATAGAACTTGTTAGTATAGACACTTTAGTATGTCACTGATCCACCAGCTATACTCTAGGAAAAGCTGCAAACAATTTTTTTTTTTGTGGTCAAGAGCTTTATTTTATATGACTTTGTATTTATAGAGTAAAACTTAGCCAGTGCTTAATGAATTATTATTGAATAAATGAGTAACCAGATAAATTTTAAAAAGGGTCCCTTTGCTTCTTTGAGGCTAATTGCCTTGGTTTGTTCAAGTCATTCAATTATTTATCCATTCATCCACTAAACAAGCTTCCCTAAAACATGTGCTCTATTGAAGATATGAGGCTTACAAAGAAATAAATGAATTGTGTCTGCTCTTAAAAGAGCAGACTTTAAATGGAACATGGAAGATTATCGAGTTGTAAAATTCATGGAGTGACATCTTTTAACCTTATTTAAGTGGGGAGATGGGAGCTGCATTGTGTCCCTCTTACCTTGTCCACAATTAAACTATAGGACCTCTCCTGAGCTAAGCATTAACCTGGCCTGAAGGATGTGAAACCTTTAGATTCTGGGAATACACCAATGACAAAACCTACAGAGAACTTCCCTCCTCTGTGTTGGAGGAAAGTCTGGAGGCAGTTGTAGAGAGTCATGGGGTAATGTTCTGCTGGTTTGCAGAGATTTGTGAATTCCCAGTGGATGGTGATGTAGCTTCTCAATTGAGTGTTCCTGAAATGACAGTGGTCTTTCTGGTCCCCCATAGGTGGCAGGAGGGCTTGGCAGATACATTGAGCTTCTTTTGGCCCTGATTCTAAGATAACAGGAAGCTTTGGCAGCTGAAAAAACTAAAGAACAAAGAGATTTCCTTTAGGTGCCAATCCAGGGGAGTTCTGTTTTGGCATCTGGCAAAACTTTAATCCATTCAGCCAGAGATTACTGTTCCTTCCTTCATTTTTAAGATTTTTGTCACCCAAGGTAACTCAGCAGCTGGAATTTAACCCTCAGTGAATAGACAAAAAGAAAACGGACAATCCACCTAATGGTTCCAGCACTCAAAGTGAAGAGAATCAAGAAAACACACAAAGTAAGTGGCTCCTAACAAAACACAGCTACTAGAGAAGTCCCCCCACACCCCTGTTCAGCAGAATGTTCTTGTCTTGTGCAAGAAACAGATTACAGACTATGGAAAAAAGGGTTGGGGAAGCTTGAAGATTGTAGCTTTCACCAAAGGGTCTGAAATTGCAGTTAGTAATCATGAGTCAATCTTTCAGATTTAGGTAAGAAAAAACAAAAACAAAAACTTCCTGAAATTGATCATGTTAAGTACAGCTTGAGATGTCTATTATCGTAAATAGAGTATTAGTTAACATCCTAAATGTTCTTTCTTGTGTGTGTGTGAACAGATAAAGTATAATGTTATGTAAGTTTTGCAGACAGATTTTGAACTTGAACAAAAGTAGCACCCCTCTCCAATAAACAAAATTATGAAAGTAAGGAAATTCAAGCATGGCATATATACATGCATGTGTGCGTGCACGCGCGCACACACACACACACACACACAGATTTGCTGGACCTACAAAAACGGACCATGATTTGCAAACAATGAAACAAACAAAAATAAATTGATGAAATGGATGAATAGAACCAATGAAATAAAGATCGGGAAGATCTTGTATAAGAGTCCAAGCAGACTTTCCATATGAATAACAAGAGCGCCAGAAAAAGAAAAAATTAACAGTTGAAGAGGACAAAGTTACTAAATAGTAGAACAAAATGTATCTGAACAGAAGACTCAAGTATTACAATTGAAATGCTTCACCAAATTCCAGGCAAGATAGATAAAAAAGATATTATTCTACTGTGAAAAGAAGACCACTAACTCAGAATTGGAAAAATAAGGCTTTTTTACTGACAAGAACTGCCCTGTAGAAAGGCAGGAGAGAATGTTTACAAGCCAGGGAGTGAAGATGATCATGAGCCAGTTCCTTAGCACATAAAAATGACAGACTTACTTACATGTTCCTGAGTATACCCAAGGCCCTCCAAGATTTGCTTTATGACCAGCAGAGCGGGGAGGAGGTCTCATTACCCTGGTAATGAAATGATTCTTTGTAAGGATCAGAAAGGAGAGAACAGTGGACTTTATAAGTGAGCACACTCCAAAACACCTATTTGAAAGAAGTTCTGATGTGTGTTTAAAAGAAGTCAACAATGTCAAGTAAGATACATGAATAAAATATACATGATGTATTTTTTTCAAGGAATAAAATATTAAATAATCCACTCTTAGTTATAATTTTTAAGTTCATTCAGAAGCTGGCGTTCTGTTAATTATGGGAGGACTGATTGCCTTGTTGGTACCTAGATATATCTTGGGAAAATTTCAGGACTCCAAGGCTAGAAGAAAAATCTTAAAAGCTTCCAGATAGGAAAAATAAGTTACTTGATTTTTCTTAAAAATGATCTTTTGACTATGTCAGTTATCTTTTCTAAAACTTAACTTTTTACAACATTCTATAATGAGTCATTAACTTGAGTTTTTAAAAATAGCAAATACATGATAAATAATATATTTAAATTGAGTGTGGACTAAATATGAAGTGTGTGTGTGTGTGTGTGTGGTGTGCGCACATGTGCTTGTTACTGACATGAATTCCAACTACCAAAGAAAGGAGAGTCAAAAACTAATGTTTTATTTTATAACAATATTTAATTATTGGACATTTTATACAAAATAGACTTTGATCAGATAGCATTTGAGCTCATTGCAAATAGTAAACATGCAAAAGGAATTCAGAATAATATTCAGGCAAGGATACAACATTACTAACTAGACCATTTTTAAAATAAAAAGCACTACCTAAAATCATCATATTACTACTTTACACACATGCATTTCTTTAATTTGTTTTTTACATAGATTTCTCACATCTATTCTTGCTTCACGGGTTTCAGTTTTATAATTTTGGGAATGGAAGACATAGTGTCTACATTAAGAAACTGACATGTTTACTCTGTATTTACTCACTGCCAAAAGCATTTTGGGAGTCCTGGAGAAGATCTATTCGATTATCTGTTTTATGAGTCACATCCCCTCAATTAGTCATTGAAGAGCAAGAGACAGCATCAGACATAAGGACATCTTTACACTGGCCATTTGAGACTTAAGATCTATTCACTCTGGTCCATACTCTCTTTGGTTACTGCCTTTTTTTTTTTTTTTTTTTTTTGGACTTGATTCTTGATAATGGGAAAGGAAGCTGGAGAGCAGGAATGGTGTTTAGACTTCAGGTTCCAGCTGGCTGTGGTCACCATGTCCATGGAAGCGATAGTCAGGTTCTCTCAATATAGGCACCTTTAAAAAAACAAGTTTGGGGGCACTTAATAGTTTATTTCACTGTGCTTGTCAGAAGTTAGTATTGAAATAAAAATATTTTTGGTAATTATTATTCAAGCTTGGAAAGAACTGGGAATAAAAATTGTTTGAGTTGAAGAAAAATAAAAGAATAAAATATTTATCTCACCCACCCTGACTACATTCCTGCTTTTGCAAACTAATTCTCCCTGAAATTTTGCTGAGAACACCCAAACATCTATCCTTCTCAAGCTTTGCAGGAAATAATTTGGGGAAAAGTATCAATAGAGTAAAGAGAAACTGGAGGACAGAAAGAGGCTGATGTTTTGTTACTCATTTTGATGTGTACTCACTTTTGATGTGTACTCACTCAAATTCTTCAACCTTATGTATTTCACTTGCTTTTGACTACTTTTACCTATGGCATAGTTTATAATTATGTTAAATTTCTTTTTTTTTTTAACCAAATAAACCTGTGGACCATATATGGTATAAAATCTCACACTATTTCTGATAATTCATATTATTTTTATGAATAGCTTTTTTATGGCTCTCAGAGGAGTGAAACAACATTTGCTAACTAAATTCTTTCTTTTCTTTATCTAACCTCTGCTTTAGAAAATACCATAACTTCTGATTTTATCTGGCTGGGCACATCATCTCAATTTCTCTTTCTATATAGGTAGTTCATTCAGTTCCTTTTTATTTATTGATTTTTCTTTTACACTTGACATCCCATGGAAAGAAAATTTTAAAATTTATTATTTATTATTTTTGTGGAGAGTTGCCCAGGCTGGTCCTGAACTCCTGGCATCAAACAATCCTCCAGCTTCGGCCACCCAAAGCACTGAGATTACATGTGTGAGCTACCATGCCAGGCTAATTCAATTTCATCACACATATGCCACACAGATATCTAGGCTTGAAGTGAGTAAAGCTTTCACTAATGAAGCCATCATTCACATTCTTGTTTAGAATACTGTACAGTACCTCCCAATAAACAGAATCATCATAGCAGTCCTGGTCAGATGGCTGTCCCCAAAAAGGCAACTTTAGAATTAAACCTGTGATGGTAGAGGGAAAATGAGTCATGTCGTGATGCTGAAGAGGAAAATCTACTTGCATAGTAGTTAATATCCTGTTATAAAATCATCCCCTTTAGCTGGCATAATTACTTTACTGCCAGAAGATTAGAACATTTTTGAATTTAGCAATTGAATTGCTCACTAATTATCTATTGTAAATAATCTGAGAGCATAAGATACAGGGAAGTGTTCACTTTTTATGCTGACCTGTAATCAGACCTCCAACAACTGCTGTTCCGATAGAGGAACACAGTGCAGCTGCCTGCATAGCCACAGACCTAAGGAAGCAAACAAAAAAGAATCAGTGTCTTTCCTGGACCTCAACCAAAGAAAGTCTCACCCACTGAAGGTGTGGATGACTGCCATCTTCAGGCCAGAGTGTAACATTACACACCAGCAAATTAAGCATTTATTACAATTTTTCTTTCATATTCTTATTTTCTTTGAAACTCTTGAGCAGTGTTAGAAAATTCTGAGATACACCTAAAAGAAGAGAATCATCTTTTAATGTAAACTTTGGAAATAAGACTTTCCCTTAGAAAGGGTTTAGCACTCTCAAAAAATTGATCCCTGATCTGATTTATTTAATAAATATTGAGTATCCACTCTCTGTCAGTTTCTTTCCTAGGCATTGAGGATAGAGTAATAAATAAAAACAACATGAGCTACTATCTATCCTCACTCCATTTTAATGAAATAGTTATGACAAAATCAGAAAAATCTATCAATAAGTTCAGAAAACCTAATTTCCACATATATTGTAGAGATAGCTCATTGAAGATATTTAAGTATATCTCTATATGTCATATAAGAAGTTCATTGCTTTAAACTGAAATTAGTGAAGGATTGTTTGTAATTTTGATAATGAAAGAATGTGATAAAAGGCCATTGAAGTGCATAAAGGTGTTGTATGAATGACAAATGACCTAGGAATGTGGAAATCTTCTTAGCAAAGTGGCTTACTCATAGCAGGCAGTTAATAAAGAGTTGTTTAAAGATTGAATGAGTGACTCCAATGAATAAAACAATAGGAAAACGAGAGTTTTGTTAGTCTTCCAGTCTCATCCAAGGGAGAGGATGCACTAAACTCAGATTCCTTTTTTTTTTCTCCTTATTTGAAAGGTTTAAATATTTTAATATATATAAAAAACTGCACAAGTAACATATAATTGTGAAAACATTAGAAACTGCAGATAACAAAAAGAAGCAGAAAAGTTTAATATTCCTCAGATTGTATCAGAATAAAAATGTAAAATAAAAACACGTATTTTTATAAAAATGCAGTCATGCTATATTACTTATTTTCCCATTAAATATGTTTTAGGGGTCTGTTTATGTGAGTCACTGTAGATCTGGACCACAGTTTGAATTGCTACAGGGTATTACACTGGGCAAAGTACTGGTTGCTTCCAGCCTTTCATATTTTTAAAAATGCTGTGAGAACATCTCTTCTGAACAAGCTTATGAACTTGTCTGATTATTTTCCTAATATAAAACCTATCTAGAAATGAGAATATTGTAAAAGGCTACATATACCTCTTTTTTTGAGACGGAGTCTCGCTGTGTTGCCAGACTGGAGTGAAGTGAGGTGATCTCAGCTCACTGCAATCTCCTCCCTCCACATTCAAGCAATTCTCCTGACTCAGCCTCCCAAGTAGCTGGGATTATAGGCACCCACCACCATGCCTGGATCCTTTTTGTATTTTTAGTAGAGACGGGGTTGCTCCATATTGGCCAGACTGGTCTCAAACACCTGAACTCAGATGATCCACCTGCCTCGGCCTCCCAGAGTGCTAGGATTACAGGTTTGAGCCACTGCGCCCAGCGTATATACTTCTTAAGAACTTTTCCAAATAGAAAATTGTACAATTTCGATTCCAATTGTTTACTTTAGCCACTATTCAGTATTATTATTATTCATTCATGCTTTATCACTTTGATAAGTGAAAAACTGGTAGCTTGTTTTAATTTGCATTTCTTTGATTACAAATGAAGTTGAGTATTTTATATATACTTATTTATTTGATTTTCTTCTTTTGTAAATTTCCTATTATTTTTACAGGAATTTGCCAAGATCTTTTACAAGGTCTTAAAAGATATTTTTGATAACAAGTGTTCTGTGATCAAATAAACTTGGAAAACAATGACTTATACAAAATTAACAGCATTACTAAAGTTATGCTGCCATAATTTGCAAAAATGTCCCTTAAGAATATTAACTTTCCCTTGTTCTATGCTTATCAAAAACCTGATTTGCATTTTAATATTCTGAAGAGACACATGTAAGTAGTCCTGGCCCTCAGGCGGTATTTTATTTGGTGTGAGATATGTAAATTTTACCCAAGTGAATGGACCTTCAAGGCTTGCCCCCCTTCCCCTCTGATATTCCTCTACCTCCTGACCCCACCAACGAATAAATTGAGAAGATGTTTCTAAATCTGCATTTTCAAGGACTAGACCCACAACTCTGAGACTTACCCAATGTCTGACCACCCAGCGAGGCCTGCCCTTTGAGAGCCAAATAGACTAGTTTTATTGCATCTGTGAAACTGGTCTAGGCATGATGCTCAAGAATTCTTAACCATAGGCACCTCCTAGTGTGTTTGCACAGTGTATGCACACTGCAGCACTGAGCAGTTGAGCTCATTCACACATGCTTTTATCATGCTTAATTTGCATTAAAATATTTTCGTGTTTGATTTCTGCAGTCTCTGGAACTGAAAAAGATATGCATATTCTGGAGTTGTCTGCTAAATTTGCAAAAAAGGTTAAAAAACATATAGAAGAAATGTGTCAACTGTACACATGAAGAAGGAAGCAAACTACGTAGTAGGAGATATGATTAAATGAGTTTTTCAAGTATGTACTATTATTGATCTCAACGGGGTTAAATTTTAATCTGCTAAAATTGAAGATAAGATTTTCCTTTTTAAATTAGTGGTCATTCAGACATTTCTAGACATACATTTCCCTCTTCATGCTTTCATTTGGATTTAAAAATTGAGTGTTCTACTATGCAGCCATAAAAAAAATGAGTTCATGTCCTTTGCAGGGACATGGATGAGGCTGGAAACCATCATTCTCAGCAAACTAACACAGGAACAGAAAACCAAACACCACATGTTCGCACTTATAAGTGGGAGTTGAACAATGAGAACACATGGACATAGGGAGGGGAACATCACACAACCGGACCTGTTGGGAGGTGGGGTACAAGGGGAGGGAGAGCATTAGGACAAATACCTAATGCACACAGTGCTTAAAACCTAGATGACTGGTTGATGGGTGCAGCAAACCACTATGGCACATGTATACCTATGTAATAAACCTGCAAGTTCTGCACATGTATCCCAGACCTTAAAGTATGCACAATTTTAAAAAATTGAGCATTCTGATTCCTCTTTATTTACTCTGAGGGATCTGGACTCTACCATCTTCCTAGCTTTTTCACATGGATGACATTCATACCAAGTCGTTCCAATATTGTGGCATCCCTTCCATTCTCCGGCGTTTGCTTGATAGTTGTTCTTCCTCTGGTCATTTAAGTAAACATGTATACCCAACTCAGGGAAGAATCTACGTCTGATAGAGCTAGAAGGGATTTTGGAGAATAAATATTCTAATCTTCTTATTTTACAGAGGAGAAGACTGAAAACCAGAAATGCTGAGTGATACCTCAGAGGTGACGTAACTAGTTAGTAGCAGAGTTGGGGCCATATACCAGTGTTGTTGATTCTGTAGAACTAACTGCTTTCTGTCTTATTCCAACTCATTCTTCTTTGTATGGATTGGATGGAACTGACTGTTCAGTTCATCATATGTGTCTCCTTCTCCATTTTGGAGGGATCAAGCAAAAGACTAAGCCTTCTATAATCTAACTGTGATTATCAAATTTCCCTATCTGCTAGGAGATAGTTGTTTCTGGTAAAGACATTTAAAATAAAATTATTAATTTTTTTAAATTGACAATTTCAGTTAAGATGCCTCTTCCAATGTAATTTTATTCTAATGATCTTCTCTCTCAGGTGCGTCTCTTTGGCTCCAGTAAAGACAATACAGACCATGGTCAGAACTGCTAAAATGAAAACTCTCCCATCACTAATTTCTCAAAGTGAGAGAAAACATCACAGGACCACAGGGGATGGAAAACCCATTCTTTTACTCACGTGTTGGAGGCGCCCAATGCTACTGCCGCAATGCCTGCAAGGCCTCCCACTACACCAGGTAAGCCGTGGAGGTTATGGACCCCACAAGTATCATGGATCCCCAGTTTAGTAGTAAAAAGTGGCTAAAATTGTAAAAGGAGGAAAGTTGATTATTTTGTTAAATGTATAGAACTGAAACAGAGCTATAGCTGAGCTCTATTCTTCCATGCAGAATTATTTTATAAGTATTTTTAAGTATATTTAAGGTATACAACATGATGTTATGAGGTACACATAGAGAGTAAAAAAAGGTCACTATAGTGAAGAATATTAACGTCTCCATCATCTTATATAGTTTCTTTTTTTTGTGGTAAAAGCAGCTAAAAATCTCATTTAGAATAAATCTTGTATACAAATATATAATACAACTTTACTACTATAATCCTCATGCTGTGCATTGAGAAGTGTTCATTCTGTATTTCTGCTACTTTGCATTCTCTGACCTACATCTCCCCATTTTCTTCTCCACCCAGAAGAAATTTTGTGTATAGTATAGATCTCCATCCACATCTGAAGTCCACTTAAGTTAAAGGATTTGAGTAGATATTTGTGGCAAAACTGCCCATTTCAGTCTTTAGTGGATGGGTTTGAAGGGAATCATTTCACATCCTACTCCTTCTCACCTACTGATGACATCCTATATCTCTCTCTCTTTCTTTTTTCTTTGAGATGGAGTCTCACTCCGTCGCCCAGGATGGAGGCTAATGGTGCCATCTCAGCTCACTGCAACCTCTGCCTCCCGAGTTCAAGCGATTCTCCTGCCTCAGCCTCCCCAGTAGCTGGGATTACAGGCGCCTGCCACAATGCCTGGCTAATTTTTGT